CTGAGAAGGTGCTATTTAAGAGACTGAGCTGAAAACAGCTCCTCAGACTGAGGAAGTCTCTCGGATGAGAGACGAAACGTTTCTACATTTTTTTTGTTGATTTGCTTTGTTTTGTTTTTGTTTTTTAATGTCCAGAGGACCAGATTTAACTTTTTTAGATTTTTCTACCTGGATTATTGAGCATGCATCAGGATATCTCTTTATTTTGTTTTACTACTATTGATTTGACGTATTTTAGGTTTCTTTTTTCTTCTTTTGCAATTGTACAGTTTTTAAAGACTAAAAATGTAAGACTGAAGTGTCCTTTAACAGAAAACTCCATCCTGAGATGCTCACCCATCTCCTTCCTGCTCCATGAAGACTTCATCTCCATCATCTGCTGCAGCAGCAATCCCAGAGGACGCAGTCACGGTGGGAACAGACTGGGAGGCCATGTTGTCACAACTGTCTGAGGGCACAGACTCAGTCAAGATTGTCACTGAGAAAAACAGAGTCAGCCATCAATCGCTTCACTGTCGTTATCATTACTCCTGCTGTCCTGCACCGTTTGTGGACCAAAGAAAAAAAAAGTCCAACATATGGTAATTAGCATGGTCTTACCTGGTGCAGCCACCTGTAAAGGTGTAGTAGGGACACTTCTTCCTCCTCCATCTTCATCGTGAGCAGCCAGGAAAAGAGGAGACTCGTACATTCCCAGCCCTACACAGTAAAAATGAAGTTAGAATAAGAAAACAGGCAACAAAACATTTTGAGAAGCCGTCATGTTAGTCGGTGTATCATTTGCACCTCCTTGAGAAGCCAGCTGTCCCAGGTCAGAGTGTGAAGCTGTGGTTTGTTGCAGCAAATCCTCTGGAGGTCCAAACCTGAACCTGGTGGACAGTCCTGCTACCTGGGGAGAACTGAGGACATCAAAAGCAGAGATGAGGGTCAAAGTTGGTTAAATGATGGTACTTGGAAGTTGATGAAAGAGACAAAACTCTAAAAAAAATCTTTAAAAACGGGGCTCATTTCTGATTGACTCACCTCACTGATAAAAACTTCCTGGACAAGCAAGTTCGTATTGGTGTTGTCTTTTTACACATTTGAGCTTTTAGCACAATTAATCATGATGTACCATTATCAAAACTTGTTTTAAATTTTCAAATAGTGACCTCTGCTGCGTGGAATCTTATTTTTCTAATAGAGTACAAGCTGTACAGATTGATGATTCAATCTAACCATATCTCAGCTGCTTAGCTGGGGGTCCCCCAAGGCTCTGCTTTAGGACCTATTCTTTTTAATCTTTATGTTAATTACTTACCAAATGTATGCTCAAGTGTTAAAGTTCAGCTATATGTAGACAATACAGTGTTGTAAACACATACTAAGACAGCACAGGAAGCAGCTGATGTTTTATCTTCAGCTGTGGTACCTGTATCTCACTGGCCTCAAGATCCATGCTTACATCTTAATAACAAAAAAAAAAAGTTTTTTTTTTTTTTTTCCACACCCGCAAGTAGAGGGTCCAAGACCCAGTGTTCATGTGGACAGAGACTTGATGTGGTGGATCAGTTCAAGAATCACGCTGTTCTGTTTGACTCAGATCTTACTTTTAGACAACATATTAAGAAGACTACAAATGTCATAACATTTTACTTGGCAAATCATCATCATATTAGACCTTTTCTCACTTCACAAGCAGCTAAAACTTATTATTATGTATTTTTTCTCATATTTCTTATTGTCTTACGACCTGGTCACACACAACAGCAAATGTGCTAAAACCCAGCAAGACTATGCAAAAAGACAACCAAATTTTTCAAAAGACAACCTTTTCATGTTCACTATCGATATTATCAATACGTATAACATCTTGGACTTAGAAAATGATCAAATGTTCAGTGATTTTGTTTTTTGGATTTTAAATTGACTTGCTCCTCTATCTTTAAACTCTTTAATCCAGAAGTATAAAACCAGAATAAACACCAGATCTCAGACTAGAGGGGACTGTGTCATAACGAGGCAGAGAACAGAATTTGGGCGAAATGTGACATCAATTAGAGGAACACATTTATGGAACGAACTACCAGACTATATCAGAGACTGTGACACTTGTTCCATTTTTAAAGAGAAACTTAAAATTTGGCTCATAGAAAATCAGTCCCGTGCTCATTCATGAACTAGGTCTATTTTTACTGTGCAACTTATGGAGAGATGTTTGAGTATTTTGTTTTAATCAATTGTTTTAATCTATTATTGTATGTGTTTTGTGCACTTATTTTATGAACTGCTTTTATTCTTTATCTGCTTAGGACAACAGATGAAATTTAGCTTTTGTGCTAATAATGGCACATTTATATTTGTGGAATATTGATTAATGTGCACAGTCCTTTAATGTACATTAAAAAAAAAAGTTACAAAGTTGAGCTAAGGAAAAGTGAAGCATTTACAGTACATAGAGTACTGACAGGGAGGAGATCCTGACTCAGAGTCAGAGATTCTTTATTGTCGTTCATATCTCATGTGGTACATGTGGTGGAGTGAAATTATGTACACAAGGTCCAAGTTACATCCAACAATAAAATGTATAAGAAAAACAGTAATAACATCTAAGATATGAACTAAGAAAAACATCAACTAAAAATACACTAAGCACTAGTAGCATAAAAACCTTACGTCTAACATCCTGATGCATGCTCAATAATCCAGGTAGAAAAATCTAAAAAAGTTAAATCTGGTCCTCTGGACATTCAAAAAAAAAAACCCAAAACAAAGCAAAACAACAAAAAAATGTAGAAACGTTTTGTCTCTCGTCCGAGAGACTTCTTCAGTCTGAGGTGCTGTATTCAGCTCAGTCTCTTAAATAGCACCTTCTCAGAGTGGATCAACCAGTTTTGCTGCTGACAACCAAAACCAGCTGATCACATGCTCAAGAAGGACCATCAGCCTAACAATGGATCATTAGCACACTGATGGCTGTTTACTATTCACAGAGGCTGAGTGATACTAGCAATCACAGCATTGTAAGAGGGGGACAGTTGAACCCGGAGGCCTCCACCCCTGTTTGATGATGGACGATTTCTTTTCACAAAGATGGCCTCCTTTACTCCTCTCTCAAACCATCGTTCCTCTCCATCCAGGATGTGAACATCTTCATCCCTGAAAGAGTGACCGCTGGCCTGGAGATGAGTGTAGACCGCAGAGTCCTGGCCTGATGATGTTGATCTTCTGTGCTGGGCCATCCTTTTGGCCAGTGGCTGTTTTGTTTCCCCGATGTAAGACTGATCACAGCCCTCCTGACACTGAACAGCATACACAACATTACTCTGTTTGTGCCGGGGGACTGGATCTTTGGGATGAACCAGTCTTCTACCAGTCTGTAGAAAGTGTGGTCCTGCTGCTCAGAGTGGTGTCTGATTTTAATCTTAAACTGACCACCTCTACTGCATCCTCAACAGGAATGCACGTAAAGAGTGATGTGACATCAAAAGAGACCATTGTTTCATCAGTCTCCATGATGACATCCCTCACCTTATCCACAAAGTCCATCGTGTTCTGTATGTGGTTTACCCATTAAAAAATGGCAAGTTGGCTTTCTTGGACTGTGAGGTCTCAGTCTCTGATAGAGGACATTTGCAAACTGAGGTGTACCGCACACCCACCCACACAGACCAGTATTTGCAGTTTGACTCCCATCACCCTTTGGAGCACAAGTTAGGAGTCATCAGGACTCTGTATCACAGAGCAGACAGCATCCCCACTAGCTCAGGAGCCAGGCAGAAGGAGATATCCCACACAAGACAGGCTCTAGAGCAATGTGGATATCCTAACTGGGCCTTCCTGAAAGCAGAGAAGAAACCCAAACAGGACTCCAGTCAGCCATCAGGTGAAAAGGAGGAACCCAGACCCAGACCAGTGGTCATTCCATATGTTGAGGGAGTATCAGAGAAACTGAGACGTTTATTTTCTAAACATAACGTCCCAGTGGCTTTTAAACCCCAAAATACATTAAAGACTGGTTCATCCCAAAGATCCAGTCCCCCGGCACAAACAGAGTAATGTTGTGTATGTTGTTCAGTGTCAGGAGGGCTGTGATCAGTCTTACATCAGGGAAACTAAACAGCCACTGGCCAAAAGGATGGACCAGCACAGAAGATCAACATCATCAGGCCAGGACTCTGCGGTCTACACTCATCTCCAGGCCAGCGGTCACTCTTTCAGGGATGAAGATGTTCACATCCTGGATGGAGAGGAACGATGGTTTGAGAGAGGAGTAAAGGAGGCCATCTTTGTGAAAAGAAACCGTCCATCGTTAAACAGGGGTGGAGGCCTCCGGGTTCAACTGTCCCCCTCTTACAATGCTGTGATTGCTAGTATCACTCAGCCCTCTGTGAACAGTAAACAGCCATCAGTGTGCTAATGATCCATTGTTAGGCTGATGGTCCTTCTTGAGCATGTGATCAGCTGGTTTTGGTTGTCAGCAGCAAAACTGGTTGATCCACTCTGAGACGGTGCTATTTAAGAGACTGAGCTGAATACAGCTCCTCAGACTGAGGAAGTCTCTCGGATGAGAGACGAAACGTTTCTACATTTTTTTGTTGATTTGCTTTGTTTTGTTTTTTTTGAATGTCCAGAGGACCAGATTTAACTTTTTTAGATTTTTCTACCTGGA